GAGATTTATTGATCAGTCTGGCAGTGGGTTAGCTATTTTTATCAACTCAATAACTTGTCATATACAAAGAACATACATATGTAAAATTATGGATTAAGTTCGTTCATTCTTAATGATTCCTTAACATCTTATGACCTTCATAAGTTACACACAGGATGCAAGACCCTTAAACGATCTAATTTCCTCAACCTTTTAAAAGGAACCATTTCAGAGGAAGGTTTCGATTTCTACCTTTAAGACACCCATACTGCACCTCTTCACCGTGCAATTATTTCACCGAAAATGCTCCAATAATAATATAAATTTAGTGCAACAAAATTACACCAAAAACTTGTAATAGTCTCATTTATTGACCGCATTGCACCAAACAGCACTAAGTGTGTGCTTTTAAAAATATTTTTTTGAATTAAAAAATAAGTAATGGTCTCAAAACACTGGCTGTTACGTTTCTCCGATGGCTTGTAATTATTTTAAATGTCCCGCGTGCGTCTGGGCCGATGCGCCCGCTCACAACGCATTGCTTCGGGCAATCCGCGCGTGATTGAGAATCCATATTGAACAAAACTTTACACAGTCCATACTTTTTAAATTAAAATATTACTGAAAGTGGCACCACGTATTGTTGGAATTTGTTTGATATTTAAAATTATTATGAAACAAAGCAAATTGCAACACGGTCGATATCGTTTATAAACTTTAATTGACCTTATTACAAACAAGATTTATTAATATAAACAGTTAGCTGTGGAACATTAATGTTGTGTTACCTGCTTTGCTTTTTATAGACCTTTATAATTAGTCGACGACGTAGAGACCTGTAATATTTTCTAATTACGAAGTTATCTGCAGTTTAGATCTTAAAGATAATAAATTAAACTTGAGGTAATGTATCGAAATCTCCAGCATAGTTCGAAGCAATAAAGTATTTATCTACAGAGAGAAGCGATAGAGATCGTTCTATTTTGAGCATTTTTCCAGTACTACACTCCACAAAATAAGTATTATAGTCATTAAGCCTTCCTAGTTCATTAACTCTAGAGAACTTTGTTAAAACAACAAGTTAGATAGAGAGATCCTAAGGTCCAACCAGTCACAGATCATTAATCCATATTGGTTATGGAAGTGTGAAAGATTCGTGACTAAATATGTGAATGTGATGGAAGCTAAAGAAGAATTAATTACCGGAATTCTGTATTTTTTACTTAAACAAAGGCGGAGGTTTATTTACATAGTATCTATGCACATGAAAGAACTACAATGAAATAGCAACCGAAACGTCCTTTTATTTGATCATAGCTACTCGTACATTTAGGTACTTAAATTCATGTTTGCAGGGCAATACTTAACAGGCGACATTATACAACCTCAAACTACCAACACATATCACCTAAATACCATCTAATAAGAAAAAATACCGCAACTTATCGGCATAAAATTTATCTAGAGCCGCCATTGTTATCTGAATTTATAATTCTGTGCAGATAAAGAAATATGTTAGCATTGGCGTTAATATCAAAAGCCTTTATCTATACGCTCACTTCAAGGCGATCGTAATAATCGAATTCACGTCAATTTTTAAATTAAGAATTTAATTTTTTTTTTCTTTATAATGTCCAGACCGAGTTATTACCAGCCTAAAGTGCCTACTATCCAAAACAGTGTGAGTACTTTGTTTTGTTTTCATTCTTTTTTTTATTTTTTTATTTTATCGATATCATAATAAACGTGAAGTTGTTCTGTTGCCATGCTCTTATCTCGCTTTCTTATAGACCACGTGATACACATGTAGCGTAGAAAATTAGTAGCATATATATGAGTTAGTCAGGTGTTCTCCTTGACTCCTAAACGTCTAATGTCTGTCTGATCATTGCTGCCACGTTAAATTGTTGAAATATAATTAAGTCAGGCATGTTCATTAATTAGATATATAGGTACCTACCAAGGTGCCCCTTACAGCTTCAGTTACAGTTACACGTACATAATAAATTCAAACTGACGTAGTTTACGTCTAGTACGTAAAGTATCCGTTTGAATTTTGAATCATTCTTCTGTCGACTACCAACTAAAGGACCTACTTTAGAGAAATATCGAGTTCCTCTAATTTTAGTAATGACTGTATATCTAGGGAAGTACGTGACAGGTAATTCTAGTGCAAAGATTTCATAATGACTAGGTACCTACTAGGTGGCCTAGGTGCTTGGTAATTTATACGTAGGTACTCAGTTACCACAATTTCATTAAAAAACTTCTCAATATCTATTCGGTACAATAGAAGATTAATTAATTGTTGGCTAACAATGGGCGAGCAAACAAGTAGGTACTTGCTACAAAATGAAGTAAACCTTTCCACAATAAAAATAGTTCTTAAGTATAACGGCTTCCCGAAGTATCGGAGGTGGTCAAGCGCAGCGTTGAGACAGTGAACGGTCGGTCACGGCCAAGGCCGAACTGAATTTCTGACTTATTTATCGTAAATAATAATTAAAATAGCCTTTCACCGCGTTCAGGGAAGTTCGTTTTACATAAATACAGTGGGTGAATTTTGTACTGTTGTGACTGATATCAGCTTCAGCAGCTCTCCAGAACTGTTGAAGTAGCAAGTTTATTTGGACTGAGACCTATATTGGAGAACCGTTACCCACTATAGTGAAAGAAAGATGATGAATTTGGTGCTTCGAGAAATTGTAGCAAAAGCTTCGGTTGAAGCTAAACAAGATACGGTTAGTACTTTGAAATTTGTTTTATAGAAGTTTATTGATCTTTAATGAATGCTCTAGATCGGTATGGTTTATTCCACTTTGTTCACCTGGGTGATTTCACCTAGGTGAACAAAGTAGAGTTTTTGGAGTCCTCAATTCACCTGGAAATTATTTCACCCAGGTGATATCACCTAGGTGAATTGAGTTGACTCAAGTAGTCTCCTTTGTTCACTTGTCAATTTAATTCACCCAGGTGCACAAAGGCGACTTTTTACTTTTACGTTGTGGACTTATATCACCTACCTACCTTACATCAAGTTAAATAAAAACTTTCAAGTTAACATACATTTTAATATGTTCAAATATCAGATTAATGTTACACATGCAAAAATATATCACAATTTCTAACACTACGCTAGGAGTTCCAGCTTATAGCTGTACACTGGGTATAATTACGAACGAAATTTTATTTCCACATGTGGTCTGAAAATCCACCTAAATGTTCATTGAAGTGTACCTACTTTGCGGTGCCGCCAAAACTATTTATTTATACTTGTAATAAATCTGTAGAGAGGTCAATTCTGTACACGAAATACATTTCCAAAATAATTATCAGGGGGTGATTGCTACTAAGTAATGACAAAAATGCATACAGTAAAATTTTTGTCTGTCTGCCTGTATGTTCCTTATAGAAAAGACTACTCGACGGATTTTAACGAAACTTGGTTCAATCATTCTTCATACTCCTGGGGAAGTTAAAGTATACTTCCATCACGGTACAATCAATAGGAACAGAGCAGTGAAGAGAAATATTGGGAAAACGGGAAGAGTTAATCCATTTTAAGCTTCCGTCGCGTGTGCAGCATTATTGGTTAAATCTACATAGAAATCATGTATGACGGAAATATTTTACACAAAATTATCTAAATAATATTTCAGAACAGCATATGTTTATCTTTGATGGTTGACTCACAATAACACGTGTAACCCACGAAAGGTTAGGAGTTTCGAGCTTTCTGCTTATATTTGTTTAGTCTTACTTTTATAATACTATCATTCATCCATAATTTAAAAAAGTATCTGAATGTACCTATAGGTAGTTAAGGTGCATGAAACACTATGAAGTTTGGAATTATACCCAGTGTACAGCAATAAGCTCACCCCTATTACATGGAACTCCTAGCGTAGTGTTAGAAATTGAGATATATTTTTGCATGTGTAATAGACCAACATTAATCTGATATTTGAACATATTAAAATGTATGTTAAATTGAAAGTTTTTATTTAACTTGATGTAAGGTAGGTAGGTGATATAAGTCCACAACGTAAAAGTAAAAAGTCGCCTTTGTGCACCTGGGTGAATTAAATTGACAAGTGAACAAAGGAGACTACTTGAGTCAACTTAATTCACCTAGGTGATGTCACCTGGGTGAAATAATTCCCAGGTGAATTGAGGACTCCAAAAAGTCTACTTTGTTCACCTAGGTGAAATCACCCAGGTGAACAAAGTGGAATAAACCATCGGTATAGACGCCAGCTCATTAAGCTACCCAATCTGTCAAATATCTTCAATACATTCTAGACTTTATCATAAAGCGTTAAAGTTCAATATGCTATCAACGAGGTTTGTGAGCTACGTGTAGCTTAATGTACTTGGCGCCTGCTTGCCTTTACTTGTGTAGGGAGGTAGGTAGGTAGGTACCAAGATCTAAAAATTATATATATTTTAATAAAATTTCAATTAGAATAAAAAAATGTGTGTGAATGAAAATAACACACTTTGTTAAAATATATGAATGATTTCCCATGAAAACTGAATTCGTTAAGCATTTACGGAGAGTGCTATAAAGCTTTCAAAATTTGTTTTCTTTTGGAAAAATCGCCTTTATTTTGTTTAGAATCTTCGAATTCAAATGTTTCATTTATACATACTTTGTACAGTACTATGTTAATTGATATATCATAATAAAAAACAGATACAGATTTCGAAACGATATCTAGCACGGTATCTAACTTCGTAAATACTCACACTTGACTTCTGTCCCTCTAGCGACGTTTGACAGAATTAAATTTGACATTTAAGACAAAAAGTAATGTTTTGATCGTTTTTATAGATTTTTTTATACGAATTATACAAAAAAGTGTTAGGAATATGATCTAAAAAGTTTAACTACAATGAGTCAAAGAGGCCTGCCGTAATAAATGCCATAGAAACAAAACATAAGTGAGGTTATTTCAAAAAAATCATTGGCATTGATTGATCTTCAGAAGATACTAAAAAAACAATGCTAAACTCCTTAAATGCACCTTACTATTAGACTTTTATGCTATACAGTCATTATCCATTGCATATTGACTGTTGAAGCTGAATATAAATCTCATCTGAGCTGTTATCATACGAAGGTTTGTCAACAATCCTCTTCAAGAGATGGAATCAGTAATTTAAGTCCGAAGTACTTACAAGCTGGTGTAGAAGTGCGTGGCAGTAACGTAGACAAAATGACGAGCGGTTCAGGAGTCAATGGGTTCTATCGACCCCGAAGTGCTCTTGCCCGGGCTATGTATGAGAAACAGCACAATGATAGATATCTTCAGGAACTTGACCAGAATGAGGTAAGTTTTATGTTAGAATAGATGAGAGCACTAACAATTGTCTCATTGCATTAGAAGCAAGGTCAAACCATGTGGTTACACATACACACATTACACAATAGCAGTATTGTAAAGAAAACACTAGCATATGTTTACATTACATTTCATCATCATTATTAAACTTGATGTACCACTGTATGTCTTATTTGGTTTGAAACCGCAGACAATATCACAGCAAACAAACCTCTTAACCCTATTTGAATCTCAGAGCAACAAACAATAACTATTTCTACATTTGTACCGTTTAAGAGTGTACACAGGTAAGTAATATTCAAGAATTTTAGAGTCTTGCTTAGATCGGCATATTAGCAGAAAGCAATGACTCGGTTATTAAAGCCACAACATTCTGTAAGTAACACAAATTATCTATGTAAGTTTACATTTTTCTAACAATATTTTCTGAACATAATTGTATTGACTGTAGATCCTGGCTGGAATTGCAGCAGTTTTGGGAAAGTGTATCGGACTTGACCAATAAAAAAAAAACAATGTTTTCTTTATTACCATTCTCAATTTATCTGCTTCATTTGTACTTAAGGTCATAAACTCTTCCTGTTCAGGAAGGGTGGGGTATCAATATATAGGATGTTCAATGTTCATCCTATATATTGAATTGATACTTGAGTGAAGTATTTAAATTAACAATTTATTTAATTATTATGTTATCAAGATATTTTTTTATTGACAAAAATATTTTTTTTTAGGTCCTTAGGTACCTAATTTTAAAACATAACTTACTAGTCTTGTCTAATTAGATTTTTTATAGCTCTTTACTTCAGACAGCAAAGGTAAAAGTACACATAACAGCTAAGCATAACATCACACCTGCTATTTTCCAAAAGGATAGGCACAGGTACTTACAATATACCACATTATAGTAACAATATTTATTAAAAGATAAGAAAATAAAATGTTTCAATGTTCTATTACTGAGAATGCCGAAATCGAAGGCCCAGATTTATTTTCGCGATACTTAATTATGGGATCGAACTCGAGACCATGTTCTCGGCAGCCGCGTCGTCACAGACAGTGTACTATTGAGACATTCGTCTTGTATCTTAATTTACTTAAAAGAAAAATTATAGGCTTTGTTATGTACAGTCAGATGACGAATGATTCAGTACAGAGACAATAACCATTGTTTTTTTTACAAACAGATTTTTTATTGATAATCAACATTTTCCTTTTACTATAATTAGGACGACATCGATTATTGTTAGTTACTGCAACAAAATTATGTTTCTTATTCGAATAGTCCGAAGCAGAAAAGTATAATTCTATGAGAGCAACCATCATAATATTTATGCTTTAGAATCGTTTGTTTAGTCGTCTTCATTACGAAAAATTTTAACCAGGGTTCGCATCAAACGTTCTAGTCTCTCTTTATAATCCTTTTTAAATCCAATTATTAAACTATTCCAGTTATACTTACGATTAGGTAATAGCAATCGGTGGTTCATTTTCTTCGTTTCGTTTTTTTATCCACTGTAGGTTACGAAAGATACGATATCTAAGCTACCTACTACTCAGCAGGAAAACGTATCTGTATTATGTAAATTATTTGTTTCGTACTTTCGAACTTATTAAAAAATGTAACAAGTTAATTTCGTCCAACTTCTAAAGCTAACATGCTATCGAACAATCCTATTTTTGACTATTTAGAAGTGTTATGACATGAAATAAACGCTTAAAGTTTAGACTTTGGCCATAAAACACTCCAGTAAAATCCACAGGTTTATAAAATTCAAAACGTAAACGTTTCACTGGCGTCATGTTTGACAGCGTTGTTTTCTAGAACATTCCGTTGTAGTCAAACGCGATTTTCAAAAATCGACTTCTAAATTTAGCGTCTTATCAAAAAACGATCTATTTGATTCTAGAAATCATAACTTATTGGTTGGAATGATCTGGATATCATTCTTCAATTAGGTAACTTGGTGATATATTCATCTATATTAATAATTTCGTCAAGGGTTACGGTAGACTCAATCACAGCATTACCTGAATAACAAAACATAATAAAAAAAATATCGATTTCGAGTCGACAACATAAAATTCAGATTACGGAGATTATTTCGTTTTATTAATTCATTTTAATTACACTGACTCTATAAATGATTTCACGCGTTCGAAGTCGCGAGTAACAGCTAGTAATCAATAAACTGTGTCATCAGTCTTAATTGTTGCAAATACGACTACTTAAAATTCGACCCTAAGTTCACCTAAGGAGTACAAATCTATTATTGTGGAAATCGCAACAATGTATCAAGTAGCAAGCGTCTTGGGTCTTCTAGGATGACTAGCTGCCTTGTTAGTTGTTATTAGCGAGTAATAAGTATCAACTACATGACATGAAATCGCATAGGAATTCCCAAATGAAACCTGCATGTTATCTAAACATCAAAGTAATAAGATTAGTACCTGCACAAAGCAGACTTTGTTACCCTTAGTCTAGATAGACCAGTTTGTTTAAATAAAGTTTCCTGTTGTGTCACCGAGTCTCGGACGATAACGACGCGACGTTTGTCCAATTCGCCATTTGATTACTGAATCCAATTTTGTGACTGGGGCAATTCCCACGGTTCACAGTCGCACTTACTCGCCAGGGGTTTCCATACTAGACGCACTCGCAATCGTAGGCTCACGTGTATCTCCGTAACGAGGATATATTTGCGTATGAAGAACACGAAATACCTCTGAATTGTGGAGGGAATAAGACATTCAACCCGCTCCTCCCCTTTCACCACACCCCCCACACACCCCTCGCGACCCTTTTAACTTTCATCTCTGTCGAGTGCTCGGTCCACATACTTTTGTTCTATTTGATCAATGTTATTAAAATGTCGCGGGCTTGCTGGATTACAAACATTTGACTATAGTAAAGCCGATTTAGAATAATAATGTCCTCTGAATTTCAAAGAATTGTTGCGGTTGATTTGTTGGATAAATATCTTAAAACGAGTTTTGAGGATGATACTAATTGCTTTCATTTGTTCGAATTAAGGTACATTAACTCATCCTAATGGTTTACAAGCATGTAAGCGATAACAAAATTTAAAGAAGCAAAGTTGTAGAGACAACATGTGCGTTACAAAACAGTACCATCATAGCATGTGATCGATCCTCATCATTGTTAAACCGCGTTATACTTCCAACAATTGTAACGAATAACGTTTGATTGCGGTCCACCCATGTGTGCGTACGCGCATCTCCGGCACGACTCGAGCGTCACACGAGATCGTCGCCATCGGCCGTAATCACTGCTATCCATTCTGTTAAAACCACCCGAGGATAAATTAGTTAAGTAGAAGCTTCCGTTAATCGTCGGTCGCCGTCGGTGCCGGTCGCTCGCTCTAAATGGATTAATTTATACTTATATGAACGAGGACGTTTTCGGTGTCACGCGAGGATGGGGTGATTGTGTTGTGATTGCTTGCGCTTCCTATGAACACGTCCTATATTAAACGGCCTCGCCTTGCCCGCCTTGCCCGCCTTGCCCCGTAGCCCAGCTAGCTGGTGCCATTAAAACGTCGCTTTACACTTTATGCTTGGACATTGTTATGTTGATAATGTATTTTATGACTTCAAAACAGAGTTGTCATGAACTTTATTTAATTCTGTGTAAATTAACTGTTAACAGCCTACAAACCAGTTTTATATCTTGTAATTGTACTTTATTAGTCCATATTAAAAGATCTCATAACACGGTCACGCTCTGTAATTATCGTATCCACGAAATACTTTATACAGTTTACATAGCATATTTGCGGTCAAATAAATAAAATATCCCATTAAGTAATGCAGGTATTATTTCAAGTACCACTTAAGCGGGTGCTGTAGCATACAAATAGTTATTTACTGTCACGGCGCTTATGTATTACAAACATAGATAAAGCTCGCTACGCGGAGCACAGGAGGCGTGATGTCCACACACTGAGCTAAGACACCTGAGTCGCGCTGGGCGCATCGCTCACTGCAATCTGTACATTATTTCTCCATTGTTCGCGTAACGAGCCCCCACCCCCTCCACTGTGCCACCCCTGCACCCCTTCCCCCTGTCTCCTATTTCCCACACCCCACCCTGAGGCGGTGGGACCTCGCTCGCGCCTTTCTTTTATCATTCCTCTCTTTATTTCCGAATGCAAATAATCCTCCACACGTGTGAGAACCGAAACCATTGTTCTCGCCTCCCCCCTCTACCTCCACCGGGGACCTTGGTGACGAAATCTTTTTCTACAGCATTTAGGCAAATGTACCTACACAAATATTTCACTTGCTTACATCATATCTCATACGAGCTTCCTCGTTACCGACATCGTTCGTATCAGAATAGAACATTATTTGCGTGCACTGTCACACAAAATACTAAATAATGTAGAATCTTTTTGGCAAATGTCCTCACGGTCTAAGAAATGTAACATAAACGTAAAAAATATATAAATATAAAAATACGTAATTCGATTTTCAATTAATTTCAGCCCTATACATAGTGTCAGTCTAAGTTAAACACTTGTATGTGTTCCATAAACGTACACTGAAAACACACGTATCTTTCTAGATAAGTAATTGTTTTAAAAGTAAATTCGCACTGGGTAGAATGATAGAATTAGAATTGTCTTTCCCAAATGTTTATCTGTCGATAATCTGATTAATCATCACTAGTAATTCAGGCGACGCCAAAGCATAGAGCGACAGCCGCCCTAGTTGCGGCAAGTAGAGGACAAACAGCTCGTTAGGCCTCCGGACGGCGGAAGGGTGGAGCGCCGCGATTCCCAAGAAAAACGCTAAGTGGGAAATCAATACGTATTAGGCGCGATATCGGACCGGTCGCCCGTCACACCATGATGGATGAACGCACCCAAACTTTCCGCGCCAAGTCTAATAATGACAATATACAAATTGACGTCCGCGAACACTTCCGAAACGCGATAGCGCTCTGTCGCCAACGCCACTCACGTTAT